CACATCAATCTGCCCATCAAACTGCCTGTCTCTTTAAATACAGCCCGTCTCCCCCTTCCAGGCAGCAGCAGAGTGGGACCAGCCCATAAAGTCACCTTTTAGTAACTGCAGAGTGGTGTCCCCAGCTAATTACTTTCTCTCATCTCTGGAGAAGCAGGAAGCAATTAGGGGGTTCCTTGCACTGCCCGGGGGCAGGGTACCCCGTCCCCTCAGCACCAGTGTGCAGGGTGGTTCCACACTCCCACAGGGTCCCAGTGCCTGCGTCCTTTCTCTCACTCTGCTGAGAGCTGTGCGCTTGCCTCCCTGCCTCTGTGAGTCAGACCTTCGCTCGCCAGCAGCCCCTGGTACCACCCATTCTCCCTGCTGCTGGCATGGCTGAGTGAGGAGGAATTTGTGTGCACAGACGTTCAGTGCACAGAGTCCAAAAGATGGTCGGACGTGCCACTGAGGGCAGGCTTGGCGGGGAGGCCTCGGCCCGCTGGGGTCTGCTGACTTTTGGCAAATTGCACCGCCGATTGAAACTGAATTCTTTCATCTGGAAAGTGGGGACATCACAGACTCCTCCTCCTTGAAGGGGAATGTTAGGGCAAGCAAAGAAAATCCATGTCACAATGACAAAGTGACAAAAAGTAGAAAGTCTACCCTGGCCAGCTTGGCTCAGTGGATAGAGCGTCAGCCTGTGGACTGAAGGGTCCCAGGTTCAATTCCGGCCAAGGGCATGTGCCTGGGTTGTGGGCTCGATCCCCAGTAGGGGGTGTGCAGGAGGCAGCTGATCAATGATTCTCTCTCATCATTGATGTTTCTATCTCTCTCTCCTTCTCCCCTCCTCTCTGAAATCAATAAATATATATTTTTTAAAAAGTAGAAAGTCCTGGATTTTCTCCTCTTTTTTAAAAATTATATTTTTATTGATTTCAGAGAGGAAGGTAGGAAGGGAAAAAGAGAGAGAGAGAGAGAGAGAAAGAGAGAGAGAGAGAGAGAGAGAGAAACATCAGTGATAAGAGAGAATCATTTATCGGCTGCCTCCTGCACGCCCCTCCTGCACGGGGGACTGAGCCTGCAATCCAAGCATGTGCCCTGACCGGGAATCAGACCATGACCTCCGAGTTCATAGGTTGACGCTCAACCACTGAGCCATGCTGGGCAGATTTTCTCCTCTTAATGAAGCACATGGAATCATGGACAGGCCCAATTGCGGTCACTTCACAACCCGCTTGTCCAATAATGTATCTTCTACTCCTATTACTTAAGTAATAGTCTCAGCTCACACATGGGCAGGGGAGGGCAGGCCTGGGAGCTGGCTCTCGAACAGACTGAGGAGGGGATGGGCATTCCTGGGATTTAACAGTTGCCACTCATCACTCATAAGACAATCTGCCTGTGGGTAGCTGAGGTCTAGTAGGACGGGCAGTGCTTCCCTAACAGGTTTCGTACAGACGTCATTTCTGCAAAGCGTTTCCCATTTTGCATGTACGGATACAGATTTAAAAGCACAACTTCATTATCGCCTTGACCAGATGTTCCCCTCTTTGAACTTGCTCCTCAGCTCCAATCCGCTATCTCTAATTACCCACATGACCTTTTCTCTCACGACTGTAAGATTATTTACTAATAGTTGGACTTCCTCTTATAAAACCCATGGAAGCTGAGGCCCGTAGACCAGCAGGAACCGGATGGCACGTCGGCCCCGAGTTTCTGAGCACACATTGTCCAGGGAGGACGTGACATCACTCCACGCCCGACTCCTGCCCTTCCAGCCTGGCTCTCCCGCCTCACCTTCCAATCTCCGTGGGCTGGAAGGTCCAAGGAGGCGGAGCTCACAGATCTATCTACTTCACCTTAGGTTTCCCCAAAACTGGCATTTAATAGGCTCAGAAAAATATTCTGACGGCTGCATGGATGAATGGCTGCGAGAACCTGCCATCATTCTCTGCGTTGTCAGAGCCCGTAGCGCATCGCTTTCTGCTTCTTTCCCCCTAGCACCCGTAACTCACTGTTCGACAAGCTCTGTTGAGTTGGCCCCCAAGGATTCCTCCTTTCACTTCCGACGGCTCCATCCCGAGTGCCAGCCCTGATCCCTCATGTTGAACTCCAGCCTCACCTCCAGCCCAGACATCCCCTTTCCGCTTCCTCCTGTCCTAGGTGTCTCTTCCACAGCCAACGATTTCATCGCGGCCTATCCCCGGTCAGGAGCCAGCCTAACTCTTAGCATCTGCATCTCAAGTCCACACTCCTCGCAGGCGAGGCGCATCCACCTGGCCTCCTCTTTTTTTTTCTAACCTCATCACCTATTATTCTGCCTCATAACCACCCCACTCCCACCAGACAGCTCTGTCTGTGTCCTTGGGGCTCACCTTACACAGGTTTCCTCCACACTTTCCACACACAGTTTGTCTTGTCTATGCTGTGAATTCCAATCATTGTTCAGGCCCAACTAAAGTCTTCACAATTATAACAACAAAGGAATACAGTAGGAGCTAGAACTTCCTAAATAACTTCCATGTTAGCATAACACTAAGTTATTCATACACATTATTTTATTAATCTTCACAAAAACTCCAGGAGATTAAGTACAATTCTTATCCTCATCTTACAGTGGAGGAAATCCAGGCTCAGAAGTGGCAAGTAATGTGCTTAAGGTTGCTGCACAGAACAGCTGGGGATCAGACATCAATCTATCACACCCCAAAGCCGTGATACTAGCAGCGCTGCCCAACGCTATTTTCTTCTCTGAGCTCTGATAGCCCTTTACTATGCGTAGCCACTCATTTGCCACTTTTCACTCGGGTTGTTAAATCACAGGACACTTTCTTGTATGCCCGTGTTTCTTGCCCCCAGTTCTACCTGAGAACATGAATTACCCTTTTGGGACTTATAAGTTCTGGCCAACAAATGTGTGCTGACCGAACTGATGAGAGGTGTCAGGTGACCCATCCGTCTTTAGTTCTGCTGGTTAATTCATCCGTTAAGCGGTGAGTTTACTGCCCTCCCCTCTCCCCACAGGACCACATGCTGACCCTGGGGATAAACCAGAGAGATCATCGCTGCTCAGGCCCCTGAGTGACACACTGCTGAGTGGCCGGGAAGGAGGCCTGACGGCAGCTCCCGGGTGACTCGGGAGCCTGTGCTTGCAGAACCTCGGATCTTTGCGTTCCCGAGGCCTCTGTGAGGTTAAAGATGTTACTGAAAAACAACAACAATAAACCCCAAGCCTCCAGATGCCACTGAGGCCCACTGTGAGATTTAACCACTTTCTCGAGAATCAGAAATGCAGCAGAATTACACAGCCCTGTTCATTCATCACCACAGTTTGGGTGTATTTTGGTTGTTAACTGGCCCGTTTAAGATTAGAGCCATGAGATCCGACAGATAGACAGACCACTTTATATATGTAAAATATTAATCTGGGGCTCTCCCTTCAAGGAGCTGGCTGACCCTGAGTTCAGCGCCGCCCGTCTCTGGGCCTTAGTGTTCTCAGGCTGACCTGGGGGTTAGAGGGTCTCTACTTCCCCTCCTGCCGTCCTTTCTGGGACTCCTTAGCACAGCAGTTTGCTTTGGTTTATACGCACGATGCTGAGTCACCTTCTCTGAGGCTGTCTGCCCTGCCCACCCTCTCCTGCTCCTGCCTCTGTCCGGATAAAGCGGTGGGCAGCCTCCAGTCTGGGCTCCCCTTCCAAAGTCCTCCCTGTCCTCTGGGCCCTTCACCCTGACATGCCTCTGCCCTCTTGTGTGCTTTGCATGTTTAACACGGAAAGCTTCCCGCCAAGTTCCCAGCAGTGGCGGGGAAGCAGGTCGCCTCTACCTGGAAGCCACCATCACCTTCCCAGTTCCCTCAAATCCCTACTGTCCTTAGAGGGAACAGAGACAGCAAAAGTAGTTTTAAAAACCTCCTTCAAGACGTCTCAAGTTGAATGTGGGCCTGTGGAGGAGGCCAGGGGCAGGAAGGCCCGCTCACACCAACCAGCCCTTCTGTGCCCCTCTCCACACTCAGGTCCTGACAACATGGACACAGTGGTGCGGGTAGAACATTCAGAAGGCACGCTCCTTATGGGCAAGGAGACGCTGACAGCAGCACAGTGGAGGCTGGGTAGGAAATGACCGAGGCTATCTGGCAAGTTCAAAATGCAGCAACGGAACGGTCCTGCATGGAGTGAGGCCATGGGCACAGAGATAGGCAAGTGAGACAGTCACACAGAACTGCATGAGTGTGTGCGCGTGCGCGTGCGCACACACACATACACACCCACCCACCCACAAATGAGTGTGTGTAAAACTGTGGAATCTGAAGAATAAGGTCGGTGGAATATACCACATTAATTTCCTTGTTTTGATATTAAACTATCGTTATGTAAGATGCCACCACTGGGAGAAAAATGGGTGAAACAGCACATGGACCTGTCTACCATTTTGTGCAATTTCCTGTGAATCAATAATTATTTCAAATTAAAACAACAACAACATCCAAGCACCTAGTGAATTGAATCTTTCTCTGTCCCCCCAGGTTCCTGATAATCATCACCGCCACAGTCCTCATCTTCATCATCTTCATCACCACCACCACCATCATCATCATCATCCTCATCATCAAGGCTCCCATTTGTTGAACGTTTACTATGTGCCACGCAGTACTTACATATTTTCTCACTTGCATCAGCACCCCCCCCCCAGGCTATCAGCCCAGTTTTATAGATGACGGTGACATTGGGAGAAGCAGAACTGAGTCCCAGGCCACAGAGTTACTGCAGGGCCAGCTCTGACCCGGGTCTGAGACGCTGACGCTCATATGTGGGGCCGAATAGCCAGGAGGAACAGGACTGTGTGGAGCCGTCGTGGCATTCGAGGTGTGCTCCCTGGAACCCACTGAAGCACACCCCTCAGGGTCTCCAAGGCGCCTGGCCCAGGCCGCACAGGGCACAGCCTACCGCCTGGTTGTCCCCTCCCGTGCCCCCGCTCTGGCCTGAGAGCCACATCTGCAGCGAAGCAGCGAAAACATTACTTACAGGTTCTTCACGTCGGCGATGCCGCGGAACGCCTTCCTCGGGATGCCCAGGATCTGGTTCTCGCTCAGATCTCTAAACAAGAGGAAGAGAGGCACCGAGTTAGCCACCAGGCTGGCTCTGTCTGCATCTCATTACGATAACAAAACCCCGTGCAGGCTGTTTGGGGGACTGTTTAGTCTCAGGCCCCAGGCTGCCACAAGCCTGCGCATTGTTCCTTAGAGATGGCTTTTGCTGGAATGGTTACCAGGGGGAGCCGCTCGCCTCCAGGGCGGGCTCTGTGGGTGGTCTCGCACCTCCAGGCCAGGAGCCAAGCCTCTGGGTTATTTGTCGCACACACTGCACCCAACTCTCTGTTTTGCCACCTCCCAGAGACGACCCCTCGCCCCTCCTCCCGCACGTGTCCCTCCCCCATGGCAGGGTCAACACCTCTCCATCTCCCATCTCTCAGGGACCCGCTGCCTTTGTCATCTGGGGTGGGAATGGAGCTGGCCTCCTGATTTTCTGACAGGGACCAACCATCTCTGCCGCTTAGAGTCCTCTGGGCCTCCTGGGTCATCTTAGTGACAGGCATGATGAATTCAAATTGCATTTCCACAAAACCATCCAAAGTGGGGGTTCCATTGGCACCTCACCCCGCATTAGGCAGCGCTAAGGTGTTGCTTCAAGGAGGGAGGGCAAGGAACTCTCCAAGCTGGCTCAAACCCAAACCTCCTGCCGGGTCCTCTTTAAGAGTTCCCCAAGCCTCAGGTTCCTTTCCTAAGACCCATAAGGTCTTTTCCATTTTGTTTTCCAGTTTTATTTATTTATATATATGTATATTTTTGCGAGACCAAACACAGGCACTTGTTTTCACTCATACCTCAGGCTGCCTGGGATCTCAGCGAGTAATCAATCATACATACATGTATATCTATAGTGACATAGACCAATCATATATTATATACCTACACACATGTGCATATTTGTAGTTATATCTCTCCATTATTTTGAAGGGAACACCAAAACCTTCAGATATTAAGGCAAAAAAAAATATTTTACCTACCCAGACATAACGACTGTTACCAATTAGGAGTAATTTATATATAAACTTCACCAATATGATCTCATAGCATATAGTCTGTTATAACTTCTTTTCCACTTACTATATTGAGAACATCTGCTCATGTCATTAGCAGTACATCTATGCCAACACGTTTAATGCCTGTAGATCATCCACTTGCTTAGACGGCTATATGGTCCCACACTGCTATTTTAGGAAACACTAGGATGAACTTTCCTGTCCTACAGGGAGCACGTGCTGGGTCACAGGTAAACACGTGTTGAACTGCCAGGTGTCCTCGAGTGGGAGTGCACCCAGGGACACCCCTTTGCCCATTCCCATGGACACCTAAGCAATGGCTGTAGGCGGCTCCAGATGCAGCTGGAAAGAGAGGCCAGACCACCATCCTCCACCAAAACCCGGGCCTCTGGATGGACATTTTGCCCGGGGGCAGGAGGGAAACTGGAACACGGAGGCGAGGCGTGCATTTGCCTTCTCCCACCTCTGAGGTGAGCTGCAACACTCTGAGCGACTGGCAGACTCTGAGACCCTTGGGGGTTGTCTGGGACCCTGTTAGGCTCCAAGGCAAGGCTCAGAGTTGGGATTGGGTGCAGATCAGAATACGTGTGGCTTCTGGGGCTGAATAAGAGGGTGCCTCCCCCCCTCAAATCCAGTTTCCTCGGCCTGCAACTGATGTAAGTCAATTTAGATGCACGCGGGGCCTGGTTACAGGCTCCCCTGGCTGGGCCTGATTCAATGAGCAGGGCTCCAGCCTGCAGTCGGGCGCTGAACAAAGCCCACGATGACAGCAAAGGTCGGCAGTGTCACTGAGGCCACGCCTCTGCTCTCCATCAGCCTCCAAGAGAAGGGGGCCAGGGTCCTGTCATCCAACTAATGCAATTTCCACGGGCATCTGGGCCGTCCCCCAGGCTCCGGCAGCCACAATGGGCCCAGTCTTTTCTGGCGAGCGGAGGCTGGTCTCCAGGACAGCCAGCCCTGCCCCCTGCCTCCCAGTCTGGGCTGCTATCTGTGGCCGCTTGGGCCACACTCAGGCCACACTCGGCGAACAGCTGATGATCAGTATACAGGCGGGGGCAGCAGACCCGAGACAGGGTTAGAACCGCCCGCTCCAACCATGTTTGGAAATGACAAGAAGGGGCACACACACACCCCAGCAATGCACTACCCCTCTGAAGCTAAGGCACCCCAACCACACAGACAGAACAGCGATTGCATGAAGGTTCTGGTTTGCAGGACGGTGGGATGCAGAGGAGAAAGCAATATTTAAGCAGACACATCTGGTGGAGCTGCTGGGAAATCTCCCACAAAAGCAGCTACACAGGCAAAAT